TAAGAAAGACTAGTTCCCCTCGCTCAGAAGCAAGTCTGAGGACTTGTAACGCTTAAAATCTGGTTTTGATACCCGTAGTGGGCTGAAAACATATAGTCCATTGTGTAGTTTAGCGCTTACAATCAAACTTTTCCCTTATATTCTCTATACAATTTACCTAACTACTTTTCACCCAAAATATATATTTTTGATTTTTTTAATTGTTTTAAAATTTGGGTAGTTGTACCATTTTTTTAGTTTATATATAACAAATTTGGGCAGTCTTCAAAAACTCATAAAATTATGATAATATAATCAGATAACTTATACGTATTATATTTACTTTAACATACTGAATATGATGATAGGATTAGGGCGCTCGACTCGCTCAAGAGTTGGCGGTGGATGTTCTTTTATCTAGTCTTTCACTGCTAAATTAGGGACGGCTATTTAGAGAGGAGATGGGCGTTACCAAGTAAATCTGCCCGAGAATAACTGACGTTGCATAAGCATCTACGGTGCCCTAACGGTCGTGAGCGGGACTAAAAATAAAAAAATTAAACATAAAAAAAACCACTTATTCAAGAGAGCGTCTTCTTTGACCCACAACAGGTTTGAAGAACTAATTGTAAAGGTGTTAGCTAATTCAAAAACAGTGTTTCACTTATAAGGGACAAATTTTGAATGTTAGGTTTATCAAGAATATAACGACAATTATAAAATGTTTCAAAATATTTAGAAATTAATGTGCCAGAGAAACTAAAGGAAGTATCATTTATCTTGAATAAAAATGTAATGCCAGTTTGACTTATAATAATACCTTAAAAGTTTCATAACGCTTCTTCAGCTTATAAGTCTAATATTACCAAAGCAGATTCACTTATCTGATAAACTTTATGTTACAATGTTTCAGAAGAATTTTAATAGAGCTGAGGACGATATGTCTAGCCACACTTTTAAATAACCTGACTTTATTGCTTCTATCTTACGTTTCTGGCATATTTCTTTAAATTTACCATTTATAGAGACAGATTTGCGGCTTGATCTATGTAGTTATGGTAGGTTTTGTTTTATGATTGTACTCTACACCGACAAAAATGTCAGTTTTACCTTAAATTTTTATTATAACGGTCAATGAACTAGCTGCTGTCAAAAGTATTCCGCAATACAGTTTACAGTCTGTCAAAAGTATTCCGCAATACAGTTCACTGTCAGTTTGTCTCACATGTTAGATAAAACGATTACCAATTTTGGTGTTTTATTATGACATCTTTCATTTTGATTTTTTTTAAAGTATTCTCTCTCTCTCTCTTTCTTTACTCTAAGCGCGATAGAGAATACCGGAAATTATTTTTTCGATCATTTCCTGCTCTATAAAAACAAATATTGGAAGTTACAGGAATACCAGAAACTATTTTTTTTCGATTATTTCCTGCTCTGTATAAACAAATATAGAAAGTTACAGGAATACCGGAAACTATTTTTTTTTTCGATCATTTCCTGCTCTATAAAAACAAATATAGGAAGTTACAGGAATACCGGAAACTATTTTTTTCGATCATTTCCTGTTTTATAAAAGCAAATATAGGAAGTTACACAAAATTAAGTTTCTAGACAAATTCAAATATTAACCATCGATGCTCCTTAGAATGAGATGATAATTAATTGATTGGTGATTACTCTATTTTTTATTTTTAACTATTCAAAAGATACATACAGCACTGCCGTGGGATGATATCAGCAGATTTACAAGACACTTACTTTGATCTCCATGTTATTATTATTATTCTACATCTAAACTGATGATTTTGAACTTGCTGACATATATTGGTTCGTTCATAGATTCTTAAGATACATCTGGAATTATACAGCATATACTGTTTAAGTTTCAGAAAACAATCCTCAGATTGTGTAAGAGAACAGATAATGTCAGGAGATAAAACTATAATCCATAGGATCACCATTTATCTTACCATGGAATATTTCACTTAATTCTTATTTATCATTACAACATACATGCAACTGGAATGATTTATTGAAATTCACTCGTTTGAACTGATCAAAAAATTTAAAAACTATCTCTGAAACTTTCTGCGAGAAAAGCAGCAAGAGAAAGAGTAAATGATATTGTGTAAAAATCTCACTCGATTTGTTTGTTAAAGAATACTGTGTAAACATTTCACTGGATTTGTTTGCTAAAGGATACTGTGTAAACATTTCACTGGATTTGTTTGCTAAAGGATATTGTGTAAAAATCTCACTCGATTTGTTTGTTAAAGGATACTGTGTAAACATTTCACTGGATTTATTTGTTAAAGGATATTGTGTAAAAATCTCATTCGATTTGTTTGTTAAAGAATATTGTGTAAACATTTCACTGCATTTGTTTGTTAAAGGATACTGTGTAAACATTTCACTGGAATTGTTTGTTAAAGGATACTGTGTAAACATTTCACCTTATCTGTTTGTTAAAGGATACTGTGTAAACATTTCACTAGATCTATTTGTTAAAGGACATTGTGTAAACATTTCACTAGATTTGTTTGTTTGTTTATTAGTAGATACTGTGTAAACATTTCACTGGATTTGTTTGCTAAAGGATACTGTGTAAATATTTTACCCGATGTGCTTGGAAAAGGATACTGTGTAAACATTTCTCTAGATTTGTTTGTTTGTTTATTAATAGATACTGTGTAAACATTTCACTGGATTTGTTTGCTAAAGGATACTGTGTAAATATTTTACCCGATGTGTTTGGTAAAGGATACTGTGTAAACATTTCTCTAGATTTGTTTGTTTGTTTATTAATAGATACTGTGTAAACATTTCACTGGATTTGTTTGCTAAAGGATACTGTGTAAATATTTTACCCGATGTGTTTGGTAAAGGATACTGTGTAAACATTTCTCTAGATTTGTTTGTTT